GTAATAGAAACAATAATAAAATACAGTGTGACCATCTATACCATCTAAATGACAGAACAGGAAATGATAAAATTGTACTGCAATGAAGGGCTACCAAAATGGTGCTCAATTTCACCTTTTCACTGAAACATTTGTTTTAGCCCATGACAAAAGGTTTGTGGGTAGAAAATGCCTCATGACCAGTCTTTTAGATTAAGGCATCATGCATCAAACACATGATGCCTTTAAGAACACTTCCACAGAATTATATTTTTGCACCACCCCCCATTAATGCCAAGCATGTTGTCCTGTAGCTCGAACCGTTTCCCTTAAACCCAGCGCACTAGTGTATACATGTACAAAACCAATAAACCAATGGCACAGTTTCAGGTCATCCTTACCTCTTGCTGGCAGCTTGAAAACTCATTTAGTCATTAATCTAGTAAAGGAATTGGCTACCTTCGTCCGTGAGGCCTGAGGGATGAAATGTCCTTGGCAGCAGAAACAGCACGGGAAAGACAGGGGGGGAAACATGGGGCTTAAACTGAAAACAAGCAAACTAATGCGAAGTAGGGACTCATTTGTCAGGTACACACAGGGTGAGGTCTGTCGCACACTCCTCTCGTCAAACACAACTTCTAATGACAAAGAACCAATTAAGTTCTGAATGAGAAAACTGGGCTACTTCCATCTTCCCTTTAGGGTATGTGACAATGCATCCGACAGATAATATTAATTCACCGGATTCTGAAAAATATCTCCCTGTCTGTTAAAGGCTTGTGTTATTCTTAGCTATTCCTCAGAGAGCAAGAGAGCCATCAGCCTATTAAAATCAAACACAGGACGACTCTAGTATTGTACAAGTTCACTTAGACCAGCTTTTAAAAAAAAATGAAATCCACTGTCCTTTACTGAAAATTACGATTTCAAGTACACTGTGAATTAATTGGATTATATGTTTGAAGTTGCTGTTTTTAATCTATGGTGCTATTTAAAATAGCAAAAATGATTTTAAACTCTATGTGCATTTCTATAAACCTGTGTGTGGTTCTCAATGTCATATTTTGTTTTCTTTAATAAGAGTTTGCTTATTTAGGCAAATTGCAAACTAAGAACATGACCAGAATCCTGAGTTTTGTCTTTCTGAAGCCTTTAGCAGATATTTTAGTCCAAAAACCAATGCTAAAAAACAACATGATCCATTCTAAAAAAATAGTACCACTCTGTAGCTCGTTACTATTTTGACACAAACTGATTCCAGTGAGTATACCATCTGTTCTGTATATATTCACATTTTAATTTATATGCAGTATATATGCATTTTGACATTTGTAGCTTGATGTTTTTCCACAGCTTTCTTTCACAATGGTTCCAGTTCACCCCAAAAACAAACAATTTGAGTCAATCCACATTAATTTAAAACATGAGGTTCTACTGATCTTGTCTGACAGCTAAATAAAAAGACATAATGTAAACATTATTACTGGATTAACCTTCAACATAAAATAGCAATTCTTACTTTAATTTTGATATGATCTTTATTAAAGACACAGCATAATCATTATATGACCATGCAAGCTAATGTGTGGTATAAAGATGTTGTGAGCACATGTAATATATTAGCAATGCTCCTTACAATTTTGATTAAAGTGACACTGCTTATAGATTTCTCATTATAACAGATCTTAAAGACAACATTTGATGCACCTCAGCACATAATTGTGTGCATTCAAGACCATTTTATTTTTAACTTAATGACTAGAATTTGTATAAGTTAAAACACTGTCAACACTAACTGGATATATGTTAATAATGTACAATACTGCAGTTTTAAGAGCAAAGGAAAACAATGATAGGCTATAAGCCAATGGTGACTCCTGAGGGGACAGACAGAAAATACAGTTCTCAAGCAACATAAATATGCAAACAAATCAAAAATATTTAAGATAACTGAGATGTGTTCCATGTATATTTGTGATGTTAGATTGTAATCATTTCACTGGGAGACTCAATCTATTCCAGTTCTGTGTGAAGCTAAATTTGTAATGTTTCTAATACATATATACTGTATATACACACACACAAGTTGGAAGTAGTTCTCTTATCCCTAATGCGTGTTGAGTACATCTTCCTCAAGCAAAGCAGTACTAGTAGTCAGTGTGTACAAAGGAACTGCTTCTAATTATTGGTAATAATGTACAAGTTTCCAGACATCATTACTTATAAGAAATAAAAACTTTGTCTGGTTGGCTAGGCTCCAACTCACAGAGACTCTGTATTGGATTAAGTGGTTACTGAAAATAGAGTTCTACTATATGTATACCTATGAATTCATTTTATTTTCAATTAATCCTGAAACAGTCCAAAACATCACCATCAACTACTACAATATTGATAAGTTTACAAACTACGTGAAATATCACCATCGACAAAAATTAAACAGCCCTGCTAAAGGCACTTATGCCTCTAAGATTTATTATATTATCACTGAACACAACTTAACAAGCATTGCTATCTTTTAGAGATCCTTGTGCAAATGGTTTATAAGCTTGGAGATCACAGGACTTCTCTGTAAAAACAGAGTTCAAACTTAGTTTTGGCCTTATGCATCACTACTTTAAATGAAAGACATGCTTATCCACTTGTTCCAACAGCAGTGTAATAAATGAGGGTATTCCTTAAGGATATATATTAAGGGTATTCTCTACATGGAATCCCACTGACGTCAAATGGCAAGACTGATGCCTCAAGTAAAAATAGAACACACAGGCAAATTAAAAAATATAGCAGTTGATACATCATAAAAAGAATGCATATCACATTAATTCTCCACTATTGCCATCATTCAGTTTAGCTTATTAATAAGAACCATAATGTAAAGATAAAAAAATGACAATTTTCTTATCTATGCAATCAGCTAATCAAAGTGTTATGAACCACGTGAGTATCCACTCTTAGTTTCAGTATGATTAATTCTCAGATATAACATTCAGGGACAAAAGTGTTGTTTTTCTTCAAGATCATTCATCCTGTTCTTATATATTTGTAACTTAAGCTTGCATTTATGATTCGTAAACACACACAATATGTGCGGACATACAACAGTTTTGCTGGTATAATTCTGTATAAATGGGACTGGACAGAAGGCAAATGGATAATGTCAAAAGAAAGTGATCATTAATCAGAAAGCCATCACTGCAAAAGAGGAAAGCACATTCATCATTTATTGAACCTTTAAGGAACAGGCAGCATAACACAAAGGTAAACAAAGAACAAGTCCCTGCAGTGACTAAAATGGCACTTAGTTTCCCAAGCCACATATCTGTTTTCAGAGATATTAATGTCACAGATCATGTATGGCACCTTCTGTGCATTTCCTCATTTTTAAACTAGGACTAGTTAAAAAAAAAAATAAAGGAAACCAACCTGAGTGGGAATAAAAAAACAAAAGTAAAGCAAATGTTACAAATGTTTAAACCAGGAGTTAACAACCCACTGCATTTTTTCCATTATAAGCACGCAAGAGGATTTTTAACGGTACGTGCAATGGCTTTGTCTACCTGACTTAACAGAGTCTGCTAGATCAGTGGAGATACACAACAGTGAAATGGCTGAAAAGGTTAACATACATTAGTTAATGAAAAAGATGAAAAAGTATTTAGTATTGCACCTGATGAGTGTGTGGTACAACCTATGAGATAATGTGAATTCAAGACGAGCTAAAACCCATAGATGGTACAACTACAAGGGGAAAATAGTGATTATTAATCACTTTAAGGAAAAGAGGTACTGATTATCTTGCTCATCATGAAAATCTTTGTGTCAAGATTTCAAATTATGAGTTTAATAATGTGATGAGGACAGTGGTGAAAGTAGTGTATTCTCAAGTTGCTCGATCTGCCTTGACTCTCAGGCAGTTTCAAACTGCTTCAGGAGATGGACAGTGTCAAGCGACAAACCTGAGACTGGAGAACTCAGCAAGGGAAAGTAAGGGTAAGGATCACACTAAAGGGTAATAAATGCATATACATTTAGGAATGTATGTATTTTACTTATATTTTAGTATTACATTTCTATTTATCAAAATTCAAGTAGGGCTATTGACATCAAAAAGTATCAACGGCACACAAAACTGTAAAACTGTGCATGAGTTAACTCTTGACAAGCCCTTCCAGGTTGGGGGTCCCTCATATAGGTAATATGATGCATTTCCCACTTTAAATGTTGAACTTCACTGCGCTAGAAGGTATAATCTCTGCCTTTGAAATTTCTTGTACCCTTTTCTTGCTCCATGCCTCCCTACCACTATATCCCTAAAATGTTTTTAATATTATTTGCTCTTCATGGTTGGTTTGTTGGACCTGTATATGAATTGCTGCTTGAAAGACTTTGCACATCACAATGAAATTATTTGCAAGTTAAACCACTTTTTACACAAGCTATTTCACTGAAGCTTGGGACATTCCAAAAACTTAATTAGCACTTGAGCAATTTAAGTGTTGCAGTAGCTAAGAGGTTGGTTACTTATTAACAGAGAAGAACAGATTATCAGTTTCAGATAATAATGTCTAGAACTGGCTCATCCATCTTTATGATGTAACTAACAATAGCGAAAGCAGAATGAGTTCTGGATTTTACAGAAACACAGCCTATGTCCAAGATTAATTATTTCTTATATATTGAGTGCTCCTTCTCAATGCTGCATTTCAGTGACCCAAAACAAAAGGGGTTTATCAAGAGAAACAAATATACAATCTTAGACTGGCCCAGTCTGTCTTTAACTTTATTAATCTTTATTTAACTATTTTATTCATTTAATGTTTAGGGTGGTTGGAATCTGGAGCCATGCTGCTGAAGCCTATACAATCACTTCTTTCAAGAAATGTCTGTATGAGTTCCTCAGATCACTTATATACTAAAATAAAAAAAAACATAGAAGGGCCAATTGGCATCTTCTCATTTGTAAGCTTATTTCCTAGTTAAGCATGTAAAAAGAAAAGAAGATGTGAGGAGTGATTTACCTGAGTTGTTTGATAGTCTGAAGGATCAAAACCCTTGACTGTAACCTCTCTGAACACAGTTGGTTCCAAAGGATCCTTAGTTAGGTCACAATGGTATATGATAGCTGTGAAAGAACAAACAAGGTATTAACACATATAAACACATATATAAAAGAGTAATTTGAACAAAACAAATTACATATGCATTATGGAAACTCAACACCATCGAACCTACTTTATCTTCACCATTACTTTTTTTTTTAAATGGTATGGTTGTAACCTACACATGGTTGTGCTTGCTTAAAAAGGTAAGTGGGAAACTAGCTTCCTAGGAAAGCTAAGGTTGCTGCTGGAAGAGGTGTTAGTGTCCCAAATTTATAATGCCCAAGTATACTAATATACTAATGCCCCAGTAACCTGAAGTGGACACTGTACTGTAAAAAGGCGTTGTCTTTCTGATGAGAGATAAAACCAAGATCCTGACGCTCGGTGGTCATTAAAAATCCCAGGGTGTTTCTCAAAAAGAATAGGCATCCTGGCCAAATTTCCCACTGCTTTTACCAGTCATAGCCTCCTAATAATCCCCATTTCTGAACTGACTTCATCACTCTGTTCTCCTCCCCACAGATAGCTGGTGTGTGGTGTGCATACTGGCACATCATCCAGGTGGGGGCTGCACATTGGTGGTGGTGGAGGAGTGTTCCCATTTTCTGAAAAAGCACTTTCAGCGGAGTGTCCAGAAAAGGAATTTATAAATGGAAGGAATTATAATTGTTTAGTATGGCCTGGTTAAGTGACCTATCAGTAGCTGTTACCTTCCTTTTATAGTAGCATAGACTTATAGGTGATATAGGAGTTCATATCTCAAACCAGTTATGGGACTGCATGTACTGCATACAGCAATATGGGCCATACTCTACAAAGCAATATTAGAAGGATGCCAGCTTGAAGTAGAAACAAAACTATAGGATAATACATTACATAAGTAAAATAAAAAAAAACAAAGGCTGTACGGGCACTTGGCAGAAAATTCTATTTAAACATATCTGAAACCGTCCTGCCACCAGCAGTCATATTTACACCCCACAGAGGGGGAAAATTAGCTTCATGCAGAAAACAGCGTATAGTGGATACACTACTGTCTACTGAACAAAAAATCTATGTACCAGGCAAGTTTAAGCAGGCTAAAATAGATGCTATAACAAGGTGAATAATTCTACAGTCCCATAATCCTATTGGTAGACTGATAGCTTAAAAAAAAGGTTTGATGTAATTTCGTTTTGGATAAACCTGTTCAAACGCACTCTACAGGCTGAATTTCGAATGTGTTAGCAAAAGTCTTAACTAACTTGCTGCTGCTGAATATGCCAATTTAAAGTACAATCTTAATTCCACAGACACTTGCGAAAGACTCCATGGGCATAGAAACTACAACAGGAAGACAAAAAGTTTAACACAACATAAAAGAAGACTTGTAATTCTGCAGCAATTCTATAAGCTCAAGTTGGTTCCTTTCATGCTTTTTACTATATTTGTGCTGAAATATAAGGTTAACGCATACATTAAAATTGCAAACAAAAAAGAAAGTAATTACACCTAAAAGAAGAAAGTGCTTGGAATATACAGTAGCTATAAGACAAGAGTCACATGTCTAAGGGGGCAGTAGGTGTTCATTTTAAGTCAATATAAAAACAAAATTAAAGGTGGGTTCTATTCCGGTACCATAAATACATGCAGCGCCACCTTCCAAAGAGGATATCATCTCTCACATTTAAGTCTGTGATCAGCATAACACAAAATGGATGAGAGTTTAGTAAAAGCATTAATCATTGGCATTTTTTTTTACAATTAAATGCTTTATGATATCAACTATTAGATGAGGTGAGGGAACTTGCATCATTATTAAAATATTAAAAAGCCACCAAAAACATCTTGGTCACAAAAATAACAAAATTACTGAAGTATGTAGCCAGTAGCCAATTCAGTGTGTATAGCTTTTTTTAAAATCTAATTCACCAAAGTTTTTAACCAGCATCTCATTGAGATAACACACACATATATCTTAAGGTCATTTGACAATTGGATTTTGCACCACTACTAATTTATAACAACAGCGTCAAGATTTGCGTGACTTGGTTTTTACTGAAATAAACCAGCTGTTACTATGAAAAATGCACTGTAGACCCTTGTATTGAGCTGCCAGCACTCCAGGAAATGTCTGTAGAATATCTCCTTATTTTATTAGACAATAACATCCAGGCAAGTGTTCCTGAGAATCATCCAACATCGTTAAACAATCTGACAGCTTATAATGCTATAGCAGAAGTAACTAGGAATTTCAGGGATGAATAACAAAACCTAGATATTCAGGACTGTACACAGTTTTAGGTCCCACAGTACAGGCTGCAGACAAAAGGAGAAGCAGGTTTACAATAAACGTGCGCTTTTTTCAGCTAACAGTAGAAAATTATTCATTACTGCGTCAGCCTATAATATGTTTAAAGTATGCATTTCATAGATACGTGTAATTTACAAGAGGCTTAATGTAATAATTAGGCAGTGGGAGTCTGGAACAGGCTACCCAGTCATGTTGTCAATGCCAAAACCATGACTTTTTTCATTAAATGGCTAGATCCTTGGACACATTACCGCCTAAAAACCAGCCAAACTAGGAACTAGGCTCCTATCATTTCCAAACATTCTTATGTTCTAAATCCATGACGGAAGTTATACTGTATACCTGTTTCATTAAGCCTGGGCTGAGCCCTATAGCGCACATATTAGCAGGAACTGCAGGGCTGTGTGACCGTTCTATCAAGTCTTAAAAGGGTCAGACAGGAGACTAATAAAACCAGGACATCTTAAAACTGTGTAATGGTACTGTGTAATGCCGAAAAATATACTACTGTGCACTCTCTCATTTGTGTATCCACATGACCTGCAAGCTTTAAGATAGTAACAATAAGTGTCATACAACATTGTGACAAACTTAATGTTTCCTCTTTCAGTTGAAAATTTAAACCATTTCACATTCCTCTCTACTGCTTTTTATCCACATATTATCAAGAAGTTTCAAGCTGTTATGACATTCTTCCTGCCTTCTGTGAGATGGATGTAATTAATTTAACAGCATAATCGGTGCTGGTTAGGAACATGAGCCTTGAACTTTCACATGAAGAATGTCCCTTGTCTTAATTTTTCTTCCATTTTCTACCTTAGTATGTTTTTGGCACATTTTTTTATCCACTCATTATTTTAACGCCATTACATGAATTACTGATTTCCTTGTCTTCTTCTCTTTCTTTATAAAGGTTAATTCTGAACAGATGACAAGACTAACATAAGGATTCAGTCTTGTTTTCTTGGTTCTCAAAAAGTTGACAAACTAGTTAAAATGGAAGATTAATTTTTAAAGGCTCAGCACGTCTTCAATATCATTTAATACACAACGGAAGACCTATGAAGGGTATTTTAACATGATAATCAACCTAAAGACTAAACCTAAACTGCTTAAAGCTTGAATTAAGACCAAGTCTTAAACAAAATAATATTGGATGGCACTAAACTGAAAAACAAACCAATACATAAAGGACCTTATTTTTCACAGATGTTCAGGTTAAGTGGAGGTGGGATATATGGATGTAAATATTTAATGATATGTTTTTTTTTATAACCAAACAAAATCTGAATTTCCTCCAAGGTAAATATACTGTTAGGCTAATTCACTGTCTAATTCATTCATTCAAGAGTAATGATACTGAGGACTTCCAAAACATGTTAAAAGAGGATGCTTTCGCATTTTAACTACTGGCTATTAATATTGTAACATGCAGGGGATATCAACATGTTTAAATTTCACCTCACAGTACCCTATTTCTTAATGAAAGAAAATGATCATTCCATGTAGCATTTGCCTAGCTGTCTGTTAACTTGTCACTTGAGGCATTCACAGTGGTCAAAAACCAGGTGCCCAAACAAAAAGGATTCATTTTTTTAACCAAGCCCAAAGCAACTGTGGATGAACGATTAAGTCATCCATCTTAAAGGATCAATAGAGAAGACAATACACAAGTAAATAGAGAAATCAGACCAGAATATAGATCTGTAGATGGGAGAAGAAGTGTCTGTAGAACTGTGAGAGAACACCACCTTTACAGACTAGACAGACTACATCCATTTAATTTAAACATTAAAGAGAATGACTTTGTTTTCATGTAAGTTAATTATTTGCCTATAAGGCTTAATTGCATCATACAGCTGAACAAAATTGGAAAAAAACAAGTTTCCCTCTTTTCCCTACAGAGTAAGTCTGGCTCGCAAGGTGAGTTTAATATTTTTCTCGTTTGGTTTTGCAGTAAACATTGGGCTTTTATATTCTTCTAAATAAAATTGTCATTTTTACCACTGTATATTTTCACTGACAACAGGAATATACAGTATTTCTATTATTTGCTTGAAAAAGCACCAATTGGAGTCAGTTCTAGGTGAAGCTAGATATTGACACTTTTTGTAGAAGATACATTTAGGTTGCATCCGGTCTTTGAGTGTCCTTTCGGGAAATAAATAACTGATGGGCTCTCTGAAGTGACAAGTATGACGGTACCACACAGCATTTGATTACTCCTTCTCATAAATTAAATCCAGTCTTGAGGCATAACAACTTGCTGGTGGGTCTAACTGCAGGTGAGACTGGGTGCAGACCTAGATCTTTTTCACAATGCACATGCTATGTACCTGGTGAAAGAAAAGAGGTGAAGTAGTAAAAAATGTCAGAATCCTTTTTCCGCCCAGTGAACCCCACCACAGAGCCTACATCCAGAAGAAATGTCTTCAGGTGTTCTCCAGTCTCCAGACTGTACATTGTAAGCACATTCTTCACATCATGGAGGAAGCACACAAAAAGAAAATGTTCATGTGCACAGGATGCAAAAACTGTAAAACAGAAAAACAATGTTAAAATTTGAAATCTATTCATATTTTCCAAAACTTAATTATTGTAAATCATTATGGAAACAAGATACTATGTATATAACATATACTTAGCAGCACAGAATACTATTCCTTGTGCAAAATAAACTATTTAATAAATAAACTAATAAACTAAACTCCATTATTCCCTAATGCAGTGCAGCTACTGATAGGTCACAGCCCAACAAGTTTCAGCTAGTATCACTGTGGGAAATGCATATTGAGTATTAGGTAATGGATAGAAAACAGAGAGCACAGATAATAAGTGAATGCTCAAGTAAACTAATATCCTACACTGAAAGAACTGAACCTTTTCAGACTTGAATAGAGAAGACTACAAAGGGACCTGGTCCAGGTATTCTAAATTCACAAAGGCACTGACAAAGCAAACCCTATGGACCCCTTCAGAAACTGCAGTGTAACACAAGATCTTAAAACTACCTAGGAGCAAACTCACCAGCTGAACCATAATATAGTAGTATGAATTTTGTAACTACATTATCAGAGAAAATAATATTGTGTGGTTCAAGAGAAGAGGAGAAATGTATATTTGTTCATAGAAGTGAATGGAAGTATTTACATGCTTAACTTGAAAGCAACACACAGTCGCTTTCCAAAGAGCAATATCAATAGTGATACTAGTAGACGTAAATTGTTGATACCTAGCCAACATTATTCTGCTTTTTCAGTTTTTACGAAACCTTTCCATTCGCCCAGTTTGCAGATCTGCAAATGTCTGCAGAACTAATATGGAACCAGGCAAGCTTCTTCTCACTTTTCATCAAAGGCATTGTGTTAGTGCAAGGCTTCAATACGTTTGTGGGTCCCTGCGATCAGTATGGGGAAACACTGTGCTAGTGTTATCAGCCCCTTTAACAGAATGTATAGGTAATTCTAATCACTATCACATAACTCGACTTACTGTACAAACCTGCTGTTCACCAGTTGTTACATTCTCATAGAAAGCCTGCAAACCCTTTCTAATGTAATACATTTTGTGGCCTAAAATTAGGCTAGGAAATACTACTAATACTAATCATCATATTAAGAGTAGTGAATCATCAAAAAAATAACACAATGGTATGTTCATGATAAATAACCCATTTACATTAGTATAGCAGTCAAGATAAAATATTTCAACTTTTTAAAGCTTTTGAACATGTTCACAGTGTTGCTATGTTTAAGGCAAAGAAAATGTATTTCAATTGCTAGTCCTTCTCAATGCTTTCTATCATTTATCTATAATCACATTTTACAGCCTGCAGGGATGCTTTTTCTTTGCTTTTATAAAGACTGAGCACTGGCAAAAATTTAATAAAAATAAGGAGTATAATCAACTATAAAAATCACTAAAAGATCACAAGGGAAGTTACTTTTTTGTAGAAAACATGGCTTTTTACAGCAACAACATGTATTAAAATCTGCACTGTGTTTATATTTTTTGCTACAATGTTCTTTTCAGCAGAACAGATAAATGGAGTGTACAGTAAACACCACTATCATATTTTAAAAAAATAAACAGTAAATAATAATGATAAATTAAAAATGATAAATAATCATCTGGTCCTCATCAACTTCTATAATTAGATACATCTAGCCTAAGATAACAGACAGTACATAACAGATTTCACTATGTAATCATGCCAAATGCAGAAACCATTTGGGAACAATTAAGTACACCCTTACTACTTCCATAGGAACTAAGAAGGTGCTGCTAATAAAATGATTTGTTGATCATAAGGAAGTGTGACCACCTCTATAAAAACAGAATGTTTGGCAGTCTGGTGGTCTGGAGCATTCAGGTGTGTTAACACCAAGCGAAGGAGAAAAGACATCAGCAATTAACTCAGAGAAGCAATTGTTGCTGCTCATCAATCCAGGATGGGTTAAAAGGCCATCTCCAAACAATTTAAAATCCATCATTCTACAGTGAGAAGGATTATTTACAAATGGAGATCATTCAAGTCAGTTGCCAATCTTCCCAGGAGTGGGTGTCCCAGCAAATTCACCCCAAGGTCAGAACGTATAATGCTCAGAGGAATCACAAAGAAACCAAGAGCTACATCTAGGGATCCACAGGCCTCGGTTAACATGTAAATTATTAAAGTTCATGACAGCACAATCAGAAAAAGACTGAACAAGTATGGCTTTCATGGAAGGTTAGCCAGGAGAAAGCTCCTTCTCTCCAAAAAGAACATGGCAGCACAGCTTAGGTTTGCAAAGTTGCATCTGAACAAACCACAAGATTTCTGGAACAATGTCCTTTGGACAGACAAGACCAAAGTGGAGATGTTTGGTTATAGCAAAGTATACTAGAGACAAATGCCAGGCCATCTGTCCGACAGATAAAGCTTGGCTGAAATTGGGTCATGCAACAGGACAACGATCCCAAGCACACCAGCAAATCTACAACTGAATGGCTGAAGAAAAGATTCAAGGTGCTGGAATGGCCAAATCAAAGTCCAGGCCTCAACCCCTTTGAGATGCTGTGGCAGGACTTTAACAGAGCTGTGCATAAACAAATGCTCTCAAACATCAATAAACTGAAGCAATGTTGTAAAGAAGAGTGGGCCAAAATTCCTGCAAATTGATGTGAGACTGATAAACTCATACAGAAAGCGATTACTTCAAGTTATTGCTGATAAAGGTGGTACCGCAAGCTACTGAATCATGGGGTGTACTTAGTTTTTCACACATGGCTTCTGCATGTTGGCTTATTTTTTGTTAAATAATGACATAGTGGAATCTGTTATATGTTGTTTGTCACCTGAGGTTAGATTTACCTAATTTTAGGACCTGGTAAGGACCAGATTTTTTTTTGTGTCCTGATCTATAAAACCATAGAATTGAAAGAGGGTGTACTTTTTTTTCACATGGCTGTAGATAACAATGCCAAAATAAATCCCAAACTCAGATGGTCATCAGTACATTTCGCTAAACTGGCATCTACTGAAAATTAAATGAAATATTTACTTGGAAAATTAACAATATGAAAAAATGAAAAAAAATACTTCAGACTCTCTTGATCTATATTATTGTTGTTGTTGCTAAGAATAATAAACATTAACTTCATCACTAACATTCATTCTGTTTTTATTTACCACATTTCTGTGTGCTTTGACTTGAGCATGTTGTGGTATCTTGAGGCTACTTCAGAAGGCTGATTGCCTTCGAGCATTTTACGGTTCCACTCCAAATCACATCAATATGGCCAGAAGCCATATCACCCTGCTACTCATAACTGGCAACCCACTGAAGCTCAGCAGGTGTGAGCCTGGTCAGTACCTAGATGGGAGACCTCCTGGGAAAAACTAAGGTTGCTGTTGGAAGAGGTGTTAGTGGGACCAGTAGGGGGCGCTAACCCTGGGGTCTGTGTGGGTTCTAATGCCCCAGCATAGTGACGGGGACACTATACTGTAAAAAGGAGCCATGCTTTGGATGAGATGTAAAACCGAGGTCCTGACTCTCTGTGGTCATTAAAAATCCCAGGGTCTCTCTTGAAAAGAGTAGGGGTATTACCCCAGCATCCTAGTCAAATTTCCCATTTGCCTTTATCAATCAGTCTCCTAATAATCCCCATCTGGCTTCATCATTCTGTTCTCCTCCTCACTGATAGCTGGCACACTATTGCAGCCATTGCATCATCCAGTGGATGGTGCACATTGGTGGTGGTAGAGGGGAGTCCCCATTACCTTTGAGTGGAATGTCCAGAAAAGCACTATAGAAGTGTAAGCAATTATTATTACATTAATTTAAACATTCTGTGCTGCTTAGTAATGGATACCTCCAATAGCTAGAACAGTAACCTAGCTTTAATGCACAATATTCTTTGTGTATTTATCACTCATCATAAAAAACTTCCAGAACTCAACAGTAAACACTTCAGAATTGATTAATTAAACTAAAACTTCAATAATTGGGCTGCAAATAACTGGAATTAATTGTTTATCTTACAATTACATTAATCTTGGTGTTCAAGATGAAAAGTTTGCAATATTTACTCAGTCTTATTGCGAAATATGTGTTTCAGATTTCAAGGGTATGATATGTACAAATATACTACAAAATACAAGGTTGGCAAGTCCATGTAATACAGAAGGTATAGCCAAATCTCCATCAAAAAGCTGGAATTATGTTTCTATAGTATATTTAAACTCATAATTTAAGATGGAAAAGGAAATTCAACACAATTAATATTATGGTAAACACAAAATATGCAGTGTAAAGCTTTATATATTAGATGGAATTAGTTATATGGTGCGATTTCCATACTTCAATGGCTTTTGCTCATGGTCAGCAGCAAACACTGGATAACAGCTATTCTCATTTCCTGGTTAGCTTTCTATATTAAGACGCACAGAGTCAAAAAAGAATACAGATGACTACACAGTCATCAGAGACACCCAGGCCATGTTATCAGTATTATGAGCTGTGGGTGTATAAGAATGAAACGGAAAAAAATGCAATTGCTTTCCGTCATGAAAAAGGAATAAGGAAACTAGACTATGTCCTTTCACACTCTTAATAAAAAAGGCAAGTAGATTCCTATCTGACCTTTTCTAATGCTTTGTATACGAGACCTTTTTTTCCTCTTTAAGGATGGCTTTTTCTTAAGAAAAATTTAACACTGAAGGAAATGACAACATCAATGTCACTTTTCTCTAACGCAACTGTCAAAGGTCGCAGAACAATTTAGAATATAAAAGCCCATCTTAAAAGCCATTACATTAAACACTGCACATTACCATGACATTTATTGTAAAGGGAACAGTTTCCAAAAGGAAAATCTGAGAATAGCTGAAACGCTTTCAGCATCTCAACTCCAATAAATAACAGCTCTTCCGTTTTCTATAAGTTGAGTTTAAGACACAAAATTAGGTGTACTGATTTATGATTTATCTATGAATTGGCTTCATTACTCTGCTCTCCTCCCCACTGTTAGCTGATGTGTAGTGAGCATTCTGGCGCACTATGGCTGCCGTCGCATCATCCAGGTGGTGCTGCACATTGGTGGTGGTGGAGGGGAGTCCCCATTACCTGTAAAGCGCTTTGAGTGGAGTGTCCAGAAATAATAATAATAATAATAATAATAATAATAATAATAATAATAACAACAACAACAACAACAACAAAATAGTAAGTCAGCAATTAATTTAAAATTATAGTAATAATATGAATCTGGCACTTTAAATGGTTGCAGTCTTACTTTAAAAATACTAAGATGACTGTGAATATGTTCAAAAGTACGTTTTTGTAATAGCTAATTGGAATTATTCTCGGTTGCCCTTCAGTGTTGGGATTGATTAACTAGATATATTAAGGTTACCTAAATGATTTAAATTGGCCATTTTGAATGTAAGTGACTTCAATTAAATCAATAATAAGAGAAAGGTGCAAAATTCTAGCAATTCAAAATAATACAATTTCAACATAACACAACTTGAAACCTGCATAAAAAAACTGATTAAGCACATAAGCGTTACAGTGAATATATGGATTGTGAAAATATTTATTTTATAGTCAAAATTAGTTTTCTATCGTACAACTCAAAATGTTTTCATGGTTTCCTAGGCTAAAGATTATGATTTTCCTCTTATGACTGTCAATGAATGGTGCACTAAGATAGGCATTTATCATATTTTTTAAATGTATCAATGATGTACTGTACTCATCTATGTTATACGTTTTGGACACTATGAACTGAAACTAAATTTAAGATGTTTGTTAACCAGAAGAACACATTTTTAAAACATCTGAGAAGTGCTAGAGTGAAACATTTGTTTTACAATTTTAAACTATACTAATTTAAATAAGCACTGCAAGTGTTAAAATTACCCATTTCATCGTATATGCAGTACAAGTCAATTTTAGCAGTTCCAGTTCCTTATCAAGAAGCCCTGTAAAATTAATATAACCTGATGTGAACGTATATAAAAATTAAGCTTATGTAACTCTTACTGTACTTGTGCATCTTCTGAATAGTAAAATGTTGAAAATGAGAAAATGATAATACATATAAACAATGAAAATCTATATATTCATTACCATCGCTCTGTAACATTAAAATCAATTTAAGGATTAATGATAAATCTGTTCATTTTATCATACTGAAGTACAGACTTAAATGTAGCTGAGAGTTCCATGAAAAAATACACTTGTATAAACCCATTTCATATTATTGATTCTAGGGGATAAAAACACAAATATTTCTACCTCAAAGACTATCACCATAGGCAAAAAGAACCATACGAGTTTACCTAATGTTTGGATCATGGGATTTGTTTTCCAATCAAAATAAAGACATTAGAGGTGGTGGAAATAAATTTAAGTACTAGGGCACATACAGGTTTTTTGTATAATCAGTGTTAGGCATATAATGAACATTCATTATTACATCATGTATATTTTGACATTTTTGGCATTTTAACACTTTTAGGCAGGTAGCAACCATCTAAAAATATAACACAAATCAGACCAATACTACGCTGTCAGTGCTGAGACTTTCCTGTACAATGACTTCTGGAGAGAGAGTGTAACGTAGACAAACTGATAGAACGCAGTTTACATTTCTTCAATTTGCACCACATAAAAATGGTACTGAATGACAGTAAATCTAAAGTTACACAAAAACAATCACAAACCTACCAATAACATCTTTTTCGTGTTCTGGAATTAACTCCTTCCAGTTCGTAATATCTGGGTCATCAAAGTTGATGTTGATAATACGATATCTTGGGGCATTTAAATTTGTTTTAAAAGTGAAAACTGAGCCCTCATTGGTGATGTATTCATATTCAGCATCAAAGTTGTCAATTAGCTTCACCCATGGCAAAATTCCTGCAAAAAAATTAGAAAATTATATACTGTAGTTCTCAAAGATATACAAACATATGTTGTAAAGTGCCCATTACAATTACACAATTTGTATAAGATTAAAATGAATCCTAATCTAAAATACATGTTATTTAGGGATAATTCCATTTGATCATATTAGAATACAAATATACTTTTGTGTTCAATCCTGTGATTCCAAGTGACTAGAAGCATAAAGATACATTCACTTTAAATTTGTATTAAAATCAGTATTTACAGTAGTTACATATCACTTTTAAGCAATAACCATATGAAACCTTAACCCATTGTACTCACCAAGCTGTATAATGTTTTTTGTAATTACTTGGGAGATCTTGCCTATTCTTGAGGTATTGGGACTTAGATTTGTGTTTCTTAAAAATGTAAAATGCACGCTCAGTTGGATTCAAACCTAGAGATTGACTTGGTGTGTCAAAGATTTTTCACTTTTTTCTACTGAATTACTTGGTCGCATTGGTTATATGTTGCATGTGGGTCAGTGACATGCTACATGGTGAACAGACAGCACAACAAACATTTTCTGAAATGTAAGCAAATAAAATATTTCTGTAAATGTCAGAACTCATTCTGCTGCTGCTTGGTTACACCATCAAGTGCCACACTGGGAATTGGCACAATTCCAGAAAGCCTGATGGAGATTGCATGATTGATAGACTTTGCTGTCTCAATATTGTTGGAAGGCATGACCTTGTACTCTAGATGCTTACTGTGCATACAAGTACACTAGAACTAGGGCTGGGCGATAATTCGATAACGATAATTATCACGATAAAACGTGCTGTTGTTTACCCACATGGTGGTGGCTGACAGGATTGTAGTTAGAGTTGAGAAATGACAGTGAAGCAAATGTAGTGCTGCCAACGACCAGCTCGAAGGACGATGACATTGTCAACAGAAAAGGTCATTCAACTTCGGTAATTTTGAGATATTTTGGCTTTTTACGATCAGACATAAAATAGAGCACTTTAAGCTTTGCAGTCTGTCTGAACCATCTTCTATGTGTGTTTTATCACACTGCAGTATTTAATTTTTCGATTAAGATATTTATTTTGTGAATTTTACTCATGCATATTTTGACATCCAAAAGACTTGAATACTCTCTATCCATTTGTTTAATGTTTCTGCTGTTTGGCAAGTGTTTGTTGTGTTCTTAAAATAAAGAGTTGTTTAATTTTCCAATTAACTGTTTCTTCAACTTTCACTCAGGAGAAAACAATCTGCCTTTAAAGTTGAAAGAAATAATGATTTGAGATTTATCGTGATAATTATCGATATCGACTGATATGAAAATTTTTATTGTGATAACGTTCTTGGCCATATTGCCCAGCCCTAACTAGAACCCTAGAATCGTGGCAGGTTCCACCTGGTTACTGTGTGTAAATTATTTCACAACAAACTAAGTGCTTTCAGAAAGGGTGTAGGCTGTGCTACAAGCAATAAGTTACAGTGATGAATTCCATCCAAAGAAGAGAAAACATGAAAGGCTAAAATCTTAGGGCTGAAATGATTTAGAACTAAGTTCCTAATGAAACTGTGCAAACACATTAGTAACTTATCTGTGCTTTAAAGTGAAGAATACAATGCAGTATACTTCAGACACAAGAAAACATGATTCAGATGCAGATGATGTCACAGTAGTCAACAGCAACAACTCAGAAATTGATCCCAGATTTGTCCAATGCAAACTACATCAATATCAATGCTAAGATAATGAAAAAAAAGTCTTCATTGGAGAACTCAGTGCATGTACAAGAAATACTAGACCTAAACAAATGTACAAAACGGGAATACATAAAAGACACAAGATGCAATTAAGCAATAAACTACTCGATCATGTTATATTTAACATGTTAACATTAAAAAGAAGTCGAATCCTGAATTAGGCTAACTACAGGCTAATAACTTACAATATTTACAAACATTTTTAAGTATTTCTTTGCTGCCATACCAAATGACCTTTGATCATCTGAACTGCAAATTGTTCCGCTTTGATAAAACCAGGTATCTTAAATTTTACAGTTGCATGACATATCATGGCAAAAAGACTACTGCATTGGTAAAAATACTGAGTTTGTTGCATTATTCTAATAGTACCCTAAATCACAAATAATACATAATACCCTTAATCACAATGACATAGGTACTTATGATATTCATGTTAATGTGCTCAATACTCTGAAGTTTGGACAAAGACCAAATGACAACATTGACAACTGTGAAACAGTTTTCACAAGCATTTATGAGGCCTGAAATCTCCAAATCACCACTCAGCATTATTACAACACACACTCCAATCACAAGAGATTTGTTTATTAATCTAGAAGTCAATATAACATAGTAAGCATCAAAAGCATGCAAATCAGATCATTTCAAAATCTCATAAGCAACATCAGACCTCAGGAGAGAGAACTCCTCATTGCTAAGGTTCATAATTAAAGGATTTGAATGATACATAAAGTAAGATAGATTCAATAGTATTTGTGGTAGTCTTATAAAAATCATTTTTTAATTTTCTTTAATTTCCCTTATGGCTAAACCAAAATTCTATGAACTATACAACACCAATATAGCAATGCAAATCTAAGCATTAGACTTTCATGAAGGCCTGTTACTCTTAAGTGTGAACTTATTTCTTGCCTCTAACAATATGGACTTATGTGATGAAGCAGCAGACTTGCAACACAAACTGTCATACTAGAAAAAATACTTTAAAAAATTAATGATATACTCAAAGCTGAAACCACCGGTGAGCCTTGGATATGAATATTGAACATTTACAGTCCAAACAATTCACTAATTAAACTAAACAAAACTACCTAATGGGTCTATGTATAACCATCTAGAGGAGCTATGCATTTTGTTAGTTGGCATTAAGGTCATGTCACATACTTTTAAAAAACAATCAATATACTGAATCTGACTTAAAATCATGCTGACAACATTTTAAATGAATGTATATATATTTAGATACCTTTTATTCCCTCTGGGACCTCTTGGAGATCACAGTACCACAGTCTGTTCACTGGGTCACAGCCTTCATGGATAGACAGCAAGACATACCGTCCATCATCTGACACCTGCAGTACAAGGACGACAAACCACTACTTCAAGATTCCAAAAATAATGCTTCACTTTTCTCAGGAAATACTCTTATCCAGCTGTTAGAGGACCAGTTAAAACAAAACTAAATATTATGACTTCCTGAAGTTCTAATGTCTCTTAGAAAAAAAACTGAGCCTCATATCAACCCAGCTTTAAAAAGCTAACTTTAAACAACACATCTAATCAGTCTTAAGATAGTTTACAGGTACTCCTTAATTGGGTGCTCGCATAAAAATGCAATAAGCAAATTCCTTTGCATTAAAGACACTGAATTCAAGTAGTAGTAATATTGGTGTATTTCACTTAAATTTGTGTACCCAATATGAAATACTACCTTTGAAATCGGTAAATAAGCAGATAATTGTTTTAAGTAATCTTCACACTACATTTTAGATATGTCAGTTCTACAATTCTATGAATGCTATATTCAACAGCATTATAAACTTTCTCAAACACTTTTAAATGTGGTTTGTTCTGACAATTCTAAACACTACAGTAAAAAACTTGCATAATTTAAGGATAGCAGACTTCATTCAAAAGTGACTAGCAAAATCTATTTGCTTAAATGTTGTTAAACAGGGCAAATTCAATTCAGACCTTAAGTTGCTTAACTGTTTCTTTAATAGAAAATTTCACAAAACACCTCTAGGTGTTTACTCATAACGTGACAGAAGCACTGCACTGTACAGTGAAAATATTCGAGTTAAATTTGAATTATTGTTTCTATGTCTTTGGAAACAAACACCTGCTTGCTAATCAAGATCACAATCGTAGATGTATACATTTCAACAATAAGAAAGGAAAAACCATGTATATCTGACACATAAGCTCTATAGTGACAGACCAAGATACTTAGAACAATTGAAACCGGACACGTTTCATAGACGCCTATAATTAAATTTTGAAAAGTTGTGCATGAAGCAGTAGATCAAACCGTATCAAACAGGTAAACTAAGCTACATTTACATAAAATTAAAGTTTTTTTAATTTACAATAGATTTTAATGAAAATACTTTTCAAATTTGTAAATTTTAAAATTGTCACAATGTACACCTATAAAAAAATAATTTATCACAATATTTTAAATACAATTACACCATGTAAAAGTTTATGGTAGCATTTTTGAATTATAATTTTTACAGCCAATTTTTTTTTGAATTCTAAGCTATTACTCAGAAATTCAGATTTTGTGATTTGATTTTATGAGTCAGTTACTGAAAATCTATGTAAAATCACGAAATTTTAAAATAAAAGTGATCAAATATAATGTCGCAGCAGGAGTGTTCGCCTGAAGAATAACGGTGACCGAGTGCTAACCAAAAAAAAACTGAAATGAGATCACAGATACAGTGGAAAATGATTTGGCCAATCTTGCAAACTGGGCAAAGTGTTTCAGTGACACAACTGACATGTTATCGGAGAAAGCCCTTTGCACAGAGATAAAATTGAAGCCTACAGTACATGCCTGGCTTTGTACGGTTCTGTCAAATCACTGCCAACTGTTTTTAAAGCCTGTTGAGAGGTTGATCCTAATCAAGTCAGGCTTCCTGACCTCGCAACACTCAATGTGTTTGAGGCTGCTCCATGTTTGAAGATGATGCACTGAAAGTTACCAAATATTCAGCCATTGACGCATATGAAACATACAGCAATAGATTCAGAAATTAAGTGCAATGATTAAGGTGTTTTGGTGCAATGTAAATGATGGCTTTCTAGTTCTGTGATATCTCTAAGATGTTTATTTATGCTAGACAGCGTGGGCTGACAGATTGTTTTTATCATACAAACTTATTTTATGGGAAAATTGGCACTCAAAATGCCAACAATGTGATAACTCAAACAACTGCATAAATATGCTTAATTACAAAAATTCTATATATGTATAAAAGTATTCTCTTTATGTATACATTTCTGTGATGTTATTGGCCCCACCTTTAGCATATCCTTTTACTAAGAATCCCCATACCAAAATTGCAGAATTATGACATTAAAATAAATGAACTAAACATGTCATCTGGTTTGTCTTAGAAAACGACCAGGCATACCTCAGCTCCACCCATCCATTTTGGATTTTCTGGAAACTCTACACAGAGAACATCCTCCGACTGAGGTGTGCCAAGAACATGATAATACAATTTCTGGTGCAAGTTAGTGGATGTTTCTGTACCTTGTGTATATAAAAGAGAAGGGGTCAGTATTCTTACACATACAAACATGACACAAAGAATAGGACATGGGCATACTGAGGCAGAGCAGTCTTCTCCAACTGCACTGCTTTCTCTCATTTTTAAATAATGTCCCACATTCAGGGCCAACTTTTATTCTGTTGTTAAACCACCTTGACTTATGGTTATTAAGAAATAATTTCTAGCATAATTACAGTAACAATTCCTAAGGAAATAACAGTGGAGTGACATTATTCCAAAACAAAATAGGTATGTGTGAAGATATGATTTCAATCTTTTCCAACTTAAAAAAAAATACAAGATAATTATGTGACTTCCCCACTCACTTGTGTACCTGAGTTTTAAATGTTTCTCATTGTATTACTGTGCAGTTAAGTCTTCCCTAATATGGAAGTTCTATATACAATTATGTCCATATTAACAATGCAACTAGGTCATGCTGTGATAAATAGCCTACTTTCATTTCAATGGCTTCCACAATTGAGCCAGAAAACAAACATCTGACTGAAATAGAAAGACTGATTTATGAAACCCTTCTAGCCCTTTAGAGGTGACATGACTATTTGAACTTGATGCTAGGAAGTTAAGAGACGCCCTGTTACCATCACTTTTCCCGTCCTGAATGGGGTAAGAGTTGTAAAATAAGCCTTTCCCATCGTGAGTCCAGGACATGCAGCTGAACTTCACTCGTTCCAGACGGTCCTCCAACTCTACAGGGCCATCCACACGCAGGAACTTGATCTCCACCCAGTCAGAGCCACTGGCACTGACGCCATATGCAAAATACTCTCCATCTTCTGTAAATGTATAGCCTGTGAGAAAATAGAGGAGAGATCAAGGATATAAAAAAATAATACCTAGTCATTGAAAGTGTTTTTAGTATATACCAGAAGACCTAACTCTCAGCATTTAATTTGTAAATCATGAGGTGCCGCAGCTCCAGGTGAACGGAAGAGACCAGATGTGTGTGGGAAAACAGAGGTCCTTAGCGCATGTCACAGCTAAACGCTCCAATGCTCATCATCATCAATGTAATGTACTTTCAATGCATTTTCAAGCCAATACAGATTACATGTTACTAAAGGTATTTAGTAATTTCAAATGCCATACTTTTTCCTATAAGGCCATCTATATTTTTTACACATTACCACTCTAATGTTGTCAGAACCTGATGGTATGATCTTCCACTGACCCATAGTGTTTATATGCCATAGGTAACTATATGGCAGAAATATATAATTTTATGTTTGGGATAAAATTCTCATATTTTCTTCATTTTCATAAAATCATGTTTTAAATACTTTTGGTTTATAAGATGTATGAGCTGGCATGTAACGCATCAAGGCACTTTCTATTGTTCAAACAAGTAGCCTCATCCAGCATTAGCCAGATTTCAGGAGTGAACTATACTATACTATTCTGAGGAAAAGCGTTTTTTAATGTTCCAGCATGCAGCATTGCAATGCAAAACCCGTCTCAGATCGATTCCTGGCAATCAACGCTGGCAGAGCGTGCACTGCATCAGAAGAACAGCAAAGTACAAGGCTACACATCCTGTCCCTTTTTCTTCTGTGAAAAAAGTCTGTTTTAAGTTATTCATGCACAGTGAGCAAATATGATTTTTTTTTCTTGAAAAAGTAATCAAGGTGCCAACAAGATAAAACGGTGACTGTCTTTAAAATGAATTTTAAATTGTAAACGCACAAGTTAAATTTTTCATATCACAAGGAGGTGCCAGAAGTGAGCTTAGAGGTTCCAGAGTAAAGACATTTTCAAATTGAGAGGAACTGGAGATGAGTTGCAGTATTAATTAAGTACAGCTTACTCCTATAGGAAACCTTGTTTCTTAAGAATCTGCATATGGTGCTTAGAGTGCAGCAGACTTCTACCAAGTAGTCCGTGATTACTTGCCACATTTCAAGACATTCCTTGTCAATCTGCTCTGAGAAGAACCTGAAACAGAATATTTTATGTGCTACTGAACTGTGCAACGATGATTTCAAACAAAGTAAACAAGAGTCTTTAACAGAGGTTAGGATGCTGTTACGGTATGCTGGAAACATTATGGTATGTTGTGGGTGCTGGAAAAACCCAAATTCCAACATAAACCATTCCTCCATCATATTGTTTAAAAAAATATGCCTCTGAACATAAGCTGCATTCATTTAATCTTTAAAAATGAAAAAAGATGGGGCATAATGCATAATGAATAAACAACAAATAATGGATAAATTATTAATTATAAACACAAAAAGAAACTCAAAATCAGTCACAGACTTGCATTACCCAAATTAATGAGCTTTGTGATCATGTGACATGATTACATTAGAGACGTTACTCCAGAAAAAACAGCAGTAGTTCCAGTCACTAAATGAAACCTTAGGAAAGCTTGGCTTTTATCTAATACAACTAAAAAAGGGTAATCTAGAAATATGCAATATACTATAGTTAATTTATAATAATTTTAAGATACACAAATCCATCTATTTAGGAAAAACTAGGACTTAAATACACACAGAGTAGAAAGAGCAAAGATGTGGTGGTTTTTACAGGATAAAGGGGAGATATGAGAGAAAGAATGCATCTCGGTCCTAGCTTTGTTTTCTCCTTCACATTTGAAGGCTTCACGGCTGAAATGCTTCCATTCCTACTTGTCAACAAGGAATTAACTTCTGCTTGTTCCTTTGCAGATCACAAGCTGATGCAATTCCTCACTAACATTTATTTATGCAGCAGATCCAATAAGCATGCCATTACATGGCAGCCCTAAAAATGAAACATACAGTACAATGAACAGCTTGAACTGTACCTTCTGTTTGTACAAAGATTAATATTATCTGTGGAAAACTGAAAAGAGCCACAAAACTGGTACATGAACAGTACAAGGTTTGCTTTTCTTGAATTCAAGTTTGCAAAAAAAAAACAGGCCATTGTTTTATAATCATTATACCCTAAAAAAAACATAACTGTAGTGTACACCATCCACATTCAGAGTATTGTGAATGTGAAAAACAAACATGGCATTTTGTAATATTTCTGTCATTTAATTGTATAAGGTATTAAAACACAGCTGTCTTTTTTATTCTTAGACTCACTGTGAGCTGCTAATAGTGGCAAAACATATGTAGTTAAATTTGTCATACCAAATCCATCTCAGTGCAAAAATTAAAGAAATTTCAAATACATTTGTTAAACCATGTATTATTCAAATACAGTACTTGCATAAATCACATTCAGTAACCACTTTCCTTGTACTGCTCTGAGAAATGCATTTCCTTTAGCAGGAATTTGATTCCTACTTCAACTCAAAAGGCATAGTCATAGAAGTTAATACTGGTCAAATACCCTGCACATCGACATATTTCTCTTCAATTTCCACTTCCGCTTTAACACATCTGAGAGTCTCCTTGGCTGACAAGGACAAAACAGCAGAATAAAACAGGGAACAGTTCCAGGGACTCTATAGCGCACAGGAGCAGGAGAACAAATAAGGAAAATCTTCTCAACACCACCATGATAAACTTGGACCACATTCTTCTTTTATCTAAATCAATATCTCACAAATCCATGAGGAGTTTACTATTGTGCAACAGAGGCTTTCCCTGCAATTAAATAACGCACAGTGGGTGAATTCAGTCTGGCAAACAAATCACTTCAATTCAACCACTGGCCTAGAGAAGATTATGGAAAAACAGACTTCCACACAAGACGGTACAAGACTACAAGAGCTCCAAAGAATATTTAACAGATAAATTGAAGAATTGTTGTACATTAAAATATTATATTAAGTTTAACTCAAATCTAAATTCTCCTGTATGCATAGTTTCACGAAAATCCAAGTATATTAAGCATGGCAATCTTTTATGCATTCATAACTTTTGAAAAGTAAACTACATTGTAGACCAGACTTTATTTTCCAGACACTGCCATCTTGTGGACACAATTACCTAACAAACATCTTTTGCAGGACGTCCCCTGCCACTGACATTGAGAGAAGAGAGAAAAAGCTGTCTGAATAATGGGGAGCGCGTCAGAGAAGTACGGAGCAAAGATCTCTCCAAGCCAACCGGTCCTCCTTTTACCCGTCTCCCTGCAATAGCACTGGCCATTCTGTGGGCATCCTTTTACAGGGATTCCAGACTGGTGTGCGAGAAAGACATTAACATTCAACTCTAAAGGTTCAGGTATTCCTCCCACATCGCAACAATTGACAAAAGTGAGATATACAAAAATTATTTACAGATTGCTGCCTTGGACACCCCCCTTTAGTTCATCACAGGGATTTCCTCAGTTCTACTTATTCATTCTCAGGCTTTCTTTTGCCGTCCAAACTACTGATTACAGTTCGAACCGGATTTTAAAATATGAGAAGCATTTCTTGTGGGAAATAAATTAAGCTCATCTTTACAGAGAAACTCATCTACCTACAACGCGTGCAATGACCCTATAACTACAGTAGCTTAAATATGATCCACTAACCCAAGACAAATGGTCAATTCAACCTAAGAAATATTTTATACAGGACATGTCAATCTCTGCTGAAAATGCACTGGGTTTTACACTCTGAAATATACTTAAAGAGAATATGTTTCAAGACTTAAAGTTACTTGATATCTCGTTTTTTCTTATCTTTTGTTCTAATATGAGCAAACCTATGCATAGAATAAGCTCAAAATTATATAAAGTTTACACACCCTTTCAAAATTTCACCCTTTGTTGCCTTATATCCTTGATTTAAAATGCATAGAAAATTTCATTTATCTACCCATCCTACCCAACGTCTTCATGCATGGCACTACCAAGAACCTGCCTAATTCAGGTCATCCATTCAATCCAGATGAACAAGCAAGAAGGAGACTAATCAGAGAGGCTACTAAGAAGCCAACGGCAACTTTGAAAGAGCAACAGGCTTTTATGGCCAAGACTGGTTACAGTGCAACAACAATATCCCAAACAATCCACAAAATGTATTGAGGCAAGGAACCTATTATTCAAAGAAGCCCAACTCTGAATCCCATCTGAAGAATGCAAAAAAACACTCAGGAGATTCTGCAGCTATATGGATGCCAGTTTCGTGGTCTGACAAAACTAAAATGGAACTTTTGGGGCTAAACGCAAAGTGTTATGTTTGCCGCAAATCCAACACTGCACCAAGAGAAGATCACCATCCCTACTACGACACATGGTGGTGGCAACGCCATGTAATGGGGATGTTTCTCATTGGCAGGTACTGAGGTACCTTTCATAACAAAGGGAAAATGAACAAAGCAAAGCACAGAAAAGCAGAAAAGGAAACCTGCTGCAAAGCTGAAACTGGGTTAGAAGTTTACATTTCAGCATGACAATGATTCAAAGCAAATAGCCAAAGCTACACTAGAGTGACTAAGGAGCAAACATGGTAAAGGTCCCTGAATGGCCCAGTCTGAGACCCGACAAATTCAACTGAAAAATTGTGGCATCACTTGAAGATAGCTGTCTATATTTCCAAAGAACTTGACCTAGTTAGAACAGTTTTGTCAAGAAGAATGGTCAAATATTGTCAAATCTGTTTTCAAAATTGGTAGAGAACTACCCCAACATACTTACAGCTGTCATTGCTGTCAACGGTGCTTCCACCAAGTATTAACTTGGGAGATGGGGTCTTATTCAATTATTGTATTTCAATATAGTTGTTTTCAACAATAACACATTTTCCCCTTGAAAGCCTGGAGCATGGTTTGCAGATAAGAGGATAACCTCATTTAAATAGAAACTCTGAGGCACTCGCACAACAAAATATGAAAAAAGTGTCTAAGGAGACATAGACTTTCTTCAGGCAAAGTCACTCCGGTTTTGACTTTGTTGTCCCAATTTTTGTGGAAGGCACTATACATGATGCACAATCTTACCTACTGTAGACAACCCTAACCACAGAAAAACAGACTCTTTCAGATAGACATAAGAAACAGACGCTATATTTGTCTGCTCTTCGTCTGCCTTTAGTCTAATCCAAGCCCAGCATATTAGTGAAAAGCATTCTACCAGAATGTATGGTTAGAGGTATTTTCTATTGAAAGCATAACTGTTACATACTATATCTGAAAAGTTTACACAGCCTGCGAAGAATCACTACCTGGTTCTATCATACATTTCCAAATCATCAAGACTGTTTTATCTGTACAGCACTCCCTTCCATTATCCAAATGGATCCTGTGCCAAAACCCAGAAGTTATGAAGGGAGATTCATCCTGCTGCTGTTGTCTGCACCCAGTCAGCTGACAAATCTCTACACTGGGTAATACTCTGCAGTGCGTGAGCACAAATCAGACTTACAGCAGCACTAAAACTTTGATTTCTGTGTCAAGTTCTGTTACAGTGGCATAGAGATTAAAATCGGGGGGGAAAAAACAATGGCATGCAGGAGTCAAAGAACTCGAAATAGAAAATCAATATTATATTCACACATGTACTGCATAGCAATTTCACTCTGTAAGACATACTATGTATATTTATTACAAATCACAACGAACGATAGCATTCAAAAGCAAGTGGCAGAATATGAAAACTGTATGCAAGAACAAAGAATCTTAAATCTTCCAAGGATAGTACACAATGAAATTATAAGCTGACTAGCAACAAAAGATTGTAACCTACCTCTTAAAGCAATTGTGCCATCTTCTGAAAACTTATTTGGATCAAGAAAAACTCTTGGCTCTGAATCCAAGGAATCCTGGACATACATGACACTCTGGTTTTGTAGTCCAGTGTTGTAGAAATGAAAGTACCTAGAGGAAAGCAAAGAACATCTTGAATACCAGAAGTACTGCATACAGAGATAAATGAATGGAAAAGAGAGATGAGTAAAAAGTAACGTACAAATCATAGCATTTCATGTTTAGTGTTAAAAACATGTCAAAAAGAAAAAGATTTACAAGTATTTTTTTAACCAGATAATAACCAGAAGGGAAACAAAATTACACAAGTACACCTCATATACAGTGCCTTGCAAAAGTATTCACCCCCCTTGGACTATTTCGCATTTTATTATGTTATAGCATGGAACCATGATGTATTTAACTGAGAATGTTTGCCACTCATCAACACAAAGTACCATATAATGTCAAAGTGAAAAAAAATCAGACATTTTACTAAATTAAAAATAAACAAAATAATTGAATGTATAAGTATCCACCCCCCAGAGTTAAACCACCATTGGCAGCAATTACAGCTGTGAGTCTCTTTGTGTAAGAGCATTGTGTAATCAGCATTGCACATCTCGACACTGGAATTTTCCACCCCAAAATTTGATTCCTAACTGAAGTCTATAATATCATAAGTAGCTATAAATAATAAAGCACATGTTTTTTAACAACATGACAAGAAGATACACAGACACTTGACTAAATGGCAGGAAACTTAATTATCAGTTTACATTTGCCCAACTAAAATTATTGTATTAGGATGTACAATTCACTTGAACACATTCCCTTTATATTAGGAAAGCAGACAATATATCTGGCAGAGATCCATTTTTATTTAGGCAAAGGAATGTTCGACACTACTTCTGTGCATAAATATACAGTCAATCAGAGCCAACCGGAAGCCTTACACCATTAGCATTCTGACTCTCGGCATTTTATTGTTCAAATAGACCTCTTCCTATTGCTAAAAGAAGACTTTAAAAGCAATTAGTAAAGAGAAGGTGGCACCAAGTTAACAAAAAAATAATGTCTTTGATAAATCATATATAACTTATAACCAATAAACATGGTGCACATAAAGGTGGAAGTATTAATGCACTCAACAGTTTTTAATTTGTGTGTCATGCATGACTGCAGTTAAAGAGATTATAGACAGCAATGGCATTCTTCATTGACAAAGACAGAAGAGATATATGCACTTCTGTCTGTCAACAGACTTAATTGTTTTAAAGTCTGTGATTACATTAGAAGACAAATTGGACCTATCAGTACAGGAACAATCACAATCAGTATAACTGTTAGCATTTACGATGGCATTTTATGCCACAGATTAATATATCTAAGCCTGAGGTACAATCATGGAAATTACTTTTTCAATTAAATATGAAAATCCAGATAATTTCTTCTAAAGGAAATGCATGGGTCATTAAATAGTTTATGGTTAAAGTGATTAACGTCTGCTTCACCAAATTATAAACTACAAATCAAACCCATCTCACACAAAGACATCTTTAAATGAAAAAATATATCACACATAAACCTAAAACTGATCCTAATAAAAAAATCATTGAAGCAATATAAATATAAAACACAATTGCTGCAGCCACTGAAACAAGTGTTCCAGCAGTTTTATTTCGTTTACTCCTTAAGAAGGTTCTTATTTACTATGCTTGAGGGGTGTGTTTCCAGAAAACGATGAATCTTAGAGACTAACGAGCAACTTTACGATGTGCTATTTTTTCATGTGTTTCCCAAAACCCCCCTTAATTGAGTGAGTATAAAGTACTTCTTTATTAACCCTGCCCCTAAAGTTGCTAAGCAAAAAGCATCACAAGTCGATTGAAAAACAATCGATTGACAATACTTTCATTATATGGTGTCGGTTTTGGTTCTTCAATGGGATGAAATACAGTTGTGAAAAGGAATATGAAGTAAACATGACATCATAATTTAACAACCATTTAAGCGAAAGCGTATAGATAGGCACAAAATGGGACACATTGTTTCTAAGAGAAAATAAAATAAATGACTGACATGCCGTAAAAGAAAACCAAGTTTAACTGTGTGGACAATGTATGTATCCTGTATGACTTCTTAGATTTAAAGCAATATTTTTTTGGTGCGCTGCCATTGTTAAAAGTTAGATTGTTTCATGAGAAAATACTGTTGTTATTTATAGTTGTTGAGTGAATTGGTCTTATTAACATGACTACTAAGCTTGACATTTGTCACTCAACAAATACAGGACCTATAATCAAATTTAAAAACAAATAGGTCTAAGCTTTACCGTCAACAATCACAACAGAACATAAAACAGTATTCGAACTTAACAGATAAAAGAAAGAAAACATAAACAGAACAAAAAAACAATTAACTGTCAGCGGTAATGAGGTAAATATTTATGTTAATTTAAGTTATATTTTTACATATATCAAATGTTTTCCTTGTTTTGGCATTTTTCACGTTCTTTATGGAATTTAAATACAATTCAAATTCCACCTCAAAAGTACTAAAGGAGGGAGTATTATTAAAACATTTTACTTATGAATATGTAATTTACCCAAGATGACTAATAAATTCATTACTGTATAAATAAATGTAATTTTTTCAAATTTCCTCTTATATAGTACAACAAAATATCAAAATCCTTAATAAAAAATCTTAGTATTCTAAATTTCCAAAGAATTGTCATGAAGGGAATTTAATGTGCTCTGTCTGGCGATCTCTGGCTCTAAGGCTGGCTCAAGAGGTAGCCAGTTTAAGAAGCACTTAGTGATAAACGAGTGGGTCGGGGAGCACGTAAATTACCAAGGATTTAACATGCTACTTTAGTACGAAATTAAATATTTTATTTTTTATAAGAGGGTTAGGTTATGAAAAGAGTTCTCATTATTCCTTAACATCATTAGAAAGAATAATGGGAACTTTAGGCAATAATTTTAATGACATTTTTTTATGTGGGCTCACTGAAATCTGTCAAAGGTTCAAAACTGAAACACTCATAAATTAACGCTAGATCTTAAGATCAAGTTTGCGATGTTCTTAGTGTAACTATGCTTTCGGGAAACTCACCCAAGGTCTAAACACATTCAGACGTGTACACTACTGTGTTTAACAATTACTCAATGAAAAAGCAGAAATTGAAGACAGCATCACTGTCTTTTTACCCCTCGTTCACCCACCTGTTTCCTCTTTTAAATGGACAGCTGTACTTGGGATAATCATAAAGCTCTGTCATGCGGTCTTTAAACAAGTTCCTGACAGGACATCCTTCAAGAAATGGCACAGTCAGTTGATTTTGGGCATTCACAAAAGCCTGAAATGCATTTCATTCAGAAGTGGTCAGCAAAACTATTTTCAGATTTTTTAAGAAGAAGGGTTGCTGATGAGGTCTTGGTATCACTCAAAACACTAAGTCCTAGCCGCCATATTATCACACATTATTATTCAATCTATTTTTATTATCATAATTCATCTATATCATCAAAACCAAAAGCAATATTTCTACTGTATTAAAAGATATGTATTCAGAAGCCTGCTTCTTTACAATGTCATAGAGCCGCACACATCGCTGGAAGTTTTGTTGCCACGCTCTGAATCGCGTTGCACATACTGTACCTTGCCATTTTTGTGATGTAAACTGAAGGTTTTACAAGTTACTTTGTACGTTTTACTTTTATTGCAGTTTGAAATGCACTCATCAACGCTGATTCTTTCTAACCCCAAAATATAAAAATAGCATTGCAGATCCCCATTTAAGTGTCCATATTAAAGTAGTCATACAGAATAATAGTTCATTGTTGTCAGTGCATTACTATACAGTACTTTACCTTTGTTCTTTCACTGTCTGGATCTTCCAACCAACAATAAGGATCAGGTATTTTATCACCATGGTAATCATCAACCTACACAGATGGACAACAAGAAGATTAGGTGAAAGAAATGTGAAACGTGAATCTTAAGTCCGTCATCATTTAAAAAAAGCCCCTTACATTCTCATTACATTTCATCTTGATTTTCCAAAACTCAAACATAAAGTTTCTAAAGAATTCTAAAGCAGCAAGATCAAGTCTCAATGTAGAAGCTGGTAATGTCTCCTTGCAAATAGTTTTAAAAACACTCTTCCTTTTTATAAAACAAAGGCTTCTGAATTTCTTTTATTATTTTTTCTGCAAGAGAAAGGCATTAATCTTAGAATGTTATCATCACAGTTGACTGACATGACATTCCAAGACCTCATTCTTTACTTCGTTATTCGTTCTGCGGTGTTGCAGCTTATGACAAGTTTAACAAAATGTTCATATGCCATGAAATCTAGCTGATAATGTTTTCTATATTACAGGCCTAGTGCTTATATAATCAGCTGAAACTTGTAATATAGAGTATTTTTTTTAAATCTCCTATGTAAAAATATCATAATTTATTCAGTCTTATTCATTCAATAACCAGAAATTAAAACTTAATAAAGAAGAATTAAAAAACTATATTTTGGGGTGATATACCATCCGTACATTTTCTAATCACTTTTTCCAATACAGGGACATCAAGGAGACCCATGTAAACACAAGGAGATGATACAGTGCCTTGCGAAAGTATTCGGCCCCCTTGAACTTTTCAACCTTTTGCCACATTTCAGGCTTCAAACATAAAGATATAAATTTTTTAT